ATAGCTGAGTGTATGTGTCTGCTTGAATATATATTTGTATATTTACATGTAAAATATGCTTGTGTGTATATATAATTTTACTTGTACAGAAGAGTTTTGTGTTGAGGGGATATTTCATGTAGAATTCTGTCTTTTAAGCCGTAGCCTCCTCCTCTATCCTAAAGAAAAGTAATGCATAAAGGCCTGGATTGAGCAAGGCAGCTTTTGATCCCGTGGCCAGTCGGTGGTTGCAGTTCTCCACATTTGGCACTGGGATTCACACTAGAAAAAGTGACGGCAGGATGGAGTTGAGGGTTCAGATTCTTGGAGAGTAGGAGCTTTTGTGTGCCTTTAATACCTACAAAATACCTCTGCTTTTCTTCGACTCCCTGGGAGTAAAGAAACCGGTAGGCTACGCTGGGGAAGTTTAAATAAATCCCACGTCGTGCATGTTGTGCAGAATCCCGCAGAGAGATCCCCAAACTGCAGCAACCTGCTCTGTGAACCTACTGTGTAATTTAGCACCATAGGACCGTACTGAGCAAGGTGCTCGGTATCTTCTAGTCCTGCTCTGCACTTCTCGTTTTCCCTGACTTCAGAGGAGGAGCTCATCCTTTTCCAGACGGCATTTAACGAGGAATACCTTTAGGAATACCTTGTTTGCCTTACATCTGCTGGAACGCTCTTCAGCAGAACTGGCAATTGCGTGAAGCGCTTGCAGTGTAAATTCTTGCTCCATCATGAACATGTTAATCCTGGCACACTCTGTTTGCAAAATCACAGTGATATTACCAAGTTACTGTAGTCTCATTTTTGTTGTTTATTGGATCTATGAATATTCCTTGAGTAAGTTACATTAATATAATATGAGTGTGGGCATTTATTTTTTTTTTTTCAGGCTTTATTTGTAAGTAACCTTGGGTTTCCTGGCTCTACGTAGATATAGGCAGGTTGCTTTCTACTCCACCTTGCTGGCTGTGTTGCAGTTGTGCATTGGTGTGCTGTTTCCAGAGCGGCTGTCCTGTCAGTCTGATAAGATCGTACCACCAGGAAGGCATAACATTATAATCCTAAGCACGACGTGGTCCTGTTCGTTTTAGCTCTTGTACTTGTCACAGGGACAAGAGTAAAGGTTGTGCATGGGTGCAAGGTGAGGGTAGAAGTGAAGATAGTCATAGATAAAACACTTAGCTCAAAGAGATAAATCCTGCACAATGACATTCCAGTTTATAATCAAGGTGTTATCTAGAAATAAACTTTGAAAGCTTGTTGGGATGTCCTGAAGCAAATGGGATGTAAAAGCAACAGAGAGAAAACAGCATTTTGGCATGGTTTTGTGATAGGGAAGGCAAAAATATTTTGTCCTTTACTTTTTCCTCAGACATGGTACCATATTCGAAGCATATTCATACCAGAGATGCCAGCAATAAGATTATTCTACAAGAAGCAGATCTGTGTAACAAAAGGTTTCTGGTAATTCTAGACTTGTTACGTTTTACACAGAGAAATGAGTGGTTTCCAGATAAAGCCTCTGAAAGGAGGTAAAATTTAAAGCATGCCTTGGGGTATGGGGACTTCAGCCCCTTAAAAGGATCCCTGCAATTACCCAGCCTGCCAACTTTCCAGCAAGATAAATGGAAGCACTGTAGCTTGAAGGTGCCTTGGTTTGAATGAGATGCAGTAAGTAAGGTCTCTCTGTTCTTTACAGGCATCATAGATCTGATAGTACTTATAAAAGAAGAATAGAGTTGGTGCCCTGCTGACTAAATTGTCCTCTAGAGAAGTATTAGTTACAGAGCGTCTTTGTTAACTAGGCTGTATGCTTAAACTGCTGTGAATTTCTCTTATTAGCAAGCTTTTTAATAGCTTTACATATGGACATGCTAAGTAAATGCAAGTATATCCATATAATTTACGTATAGGATGTGTGTGTACGATCTATACACAAATGTTTGCAGTACAGAAATTGCACATACTTCACTGCTGTTCTGTTACACCAAGGAAAAAGAAAGCGTTATGAAACTGATAATAGGAGAACAGCAACTCGACTTCTGCTCTTTCTGTCCAGCTGCTTCATGTGAAGTCTGTCGTCTTCTTCTTCCCTTTAATTTCCCAATTAGCTTGTGTGGATGAGAGAGGTGTTTCTAAAGCCTTTGTGTGCTGAGAGTTTCCCCGTTGCTCACCTACTCATGCCTTATATTTTAGAAGCCTAGGTAAGACCATAAAGTGTATATTAATTAAAAAAAAAAAAGTAATTCCCAAACTACCTTGTGCGGAATGGCAGATATTCTGATATTACTCCTTTTAGCCCACCAATAAAGAAACCTTATTGTCGGATTTCTTGGTTGATCTGAGGAATACTGGGGCTATGATAACTTCCTTGACAGATGAGTAAATTGTGAAGCGCACACGTGCGCTATGAATTCCTGGAAGGAAATCCCCCGTTGGTGCTCCTTGGTCGTGCGGAGCTCACGCGCCCGCGTGTCGGCTCAGAGGAGCCTGGCGCGCGCCCGAGGTCTTCATTTATTGGGGCAGGGTGGCAGCGTTTAGCCCTCTAATACGCTGGCGTTGCGTAAGCTTTGCTCTTTCTTTGCTGCTCTTGTGGATGAATGGATGGCGCTGGGGAGGAAATCCCGGGAAGGCCGGTGCTCCAGGACGTGCCGGGGACTGGGACGTGCCGCCCGCTCCGCCCCCTCGGGGGATTAGCAGAGCGAGAAGTCACCCCGCGACCGACCGCCCGGGTGGCAAAAGCGGCTCCATGCCTGGCCCCGCGCTCCTGCACAAAGAGGCCCCGTGCGGAGCTGCCGCGTCCTGCCCTGGTCTCGGCACAGCAGATGGTTCCTTTGCGCACAGCACGTTGCGGGCAGCCAGCAGCTTTGCGGGGCTTTGGTTATTTTTTTGGTTTATTTTTCAAATACCGTGTCACGTGCTGAAACAAATGAAAGCTCTAACCCAAACACTGTTTTAAAATCTTACTTTCTGTATCTTTAACTGTTGGGTGCCTATCTATTTCGTTACACAAAATTTGTGTTCATTTTGAGTAGTATCTATTCTGCTACAGTCTGTTTTCAGAGTTTTATTATATGCTTTTCAACACTGTTTGTTTTATCAGCAGTTCCTGCAAGCGTTTGTTACACATTGTGACAGTAGCGATTTGATCACGTTTAAAAGAATACCATATTATGCATGAAAAAGCAGTAATTACTTCCGTTTGTCAAATATATTCCACTGTAAAAATCGTAATCATTATACCAAAATAAACAGCGTTACTTCTTGTTTACATTTTCTATAGTTAGTAGTTATCACAAAATTCTATTTATAGAGATTTGGAAATGAATTCTAACATGAATGCAGAGTTGACATGTAGATTGAACTTTTCAAACTTATTTTTGTTTTTATTTACCTAGTTAAGTATGCCTATGAGACTTTGAACCTGTTATAAAAACAAGATTCGACAGTAGTGAGCGTTGTATCTAATACCTAACTCAGATTTGTAAAGAAAGTCTGTGAGGCGTCATGTAGGGCATAACTTGGGCCAGTTGTATTTAGTGCCCAAGGAAAAATAAAATACAGCAGTCTAGGTGGCATTTAAACTGTTATTCTTCCTTTTTTTTTTTTTTTTGGAGTTGCGTTGGAGGACTGACCCCATCTATGAGGCAAGAGCAACTCCTTGTAATGGATGTAGTCAGCATCACGCAGCATGGTTACTCTGAACACACCACTTTGCATTTTGTGCAAGTCTTCTACCTTCTACGATAACTTCTAAGATTTTTGTTGTGCAAATTAGCAGCAGGCTTTTTGCTTTTCGAGCTCTTTGCACTGGCAGGACCAGATGCTTCTTGGGCGGCACACATGGCTAGTCGTGTTGTCTCCGGCGGAACTACTTGCATGAGTCAAATAAAATCAGTATCAAACAAAGTAAAATTCTCTGTCATCCCAATTATTTGTAGTCCCAAAGGTCAGTTAATGACCTGTTTTATGTGTGAAATAGCTCTCTCCCTCTTATTTGTGCCTTAATTCAGTAATCAAAATAGCAGCATGCCCCTTAGCTTGTGCCTTGCCAATAGTCATAGATGCACAGCTACATTTGTGCTTTTTGGAGATCTTTCTATGATTCCTGGTAATTAACACATTTGCTGAAAATTGGAGGTACACATTTGCTTTGTCACAACAGTCTTGTTTTATGTCTGATTTTACAACAGTAAAAGAAAAAAAAATTACTCTCACAAATCCAAAAACCAATACAGCTCCTAGTTCCAGTCTATCATTGGAGAATATGGCATTAAAATACTGCTAGAATTCAGATGAGGGAGAATATTTTTGATGCATTAGTTAGGAAATGGAGCAACTTTTTCATGCTGCGTCCAGATGAAACTGGAGATGACCTGTAAACTGCTAGTGTACACACTAGCCAAACTGGTATCTGATGGATAAACGAAAGCAGCCTTTGCTACTCTGGTAAAATGGCCAGCTGCCGAGAGCAGGGCCTTGGTTTTGTGTCTCTTCTGCAAGGTGAATGAGCTGGATGGGAGTGTTACAAGGCCTGTGTATTTTACACCCTTCATCTGTCATTTTGAGGATGGTTTAAGGAGTGAAGTGCATTAGCTGTGATTGTAACTGTAGCAAACCCCAGAATGACATACTATATGAAAGGGAAACTGATGTATCATTTTCATTAGTTTTAGTGTGCTCAGCCAGAATTTGTGGGATTAATTTTGAAAGCTTAATCCAGATGGAAAAGGTTAAATGCAATGTTGAGTGAATTTGGTTCCAATTCATTTGTTGCCCTTGCTTGTTCTTTTCCTCAGAAGAATTGGAGATTAAGTGGAGAATTGTACATGCGATTCTCACTTCCTGCCATCATTTAACTACGTGAACCAACATTACGGAAAGCCTCCTGGTTATCCGCTGTAATAAGTAAACAAATGTTTCTCATCACCGTGCTACCTCTCAAGTCCCGTGGCTTGCGTGTTACTGCTTCTTACTACTACTTATATCCCCTTCTTTTCCTTCTCCCGCAGGATTTATCTGGCTCCATTGACGACCTGCCGACTGGAACTGAAGCAACGCTGAGTTCAGCCGTGAGCGCGTCCGGCTCCACGAGCAGCCAAGGGGAGCAGAGCAACCCTGCACAGTCGCCGTTCTCCCCTCACGCCTCTCCGCATCTCTCCGGCATCCCGGGAGGTCCGTCGCCTTCCCCCGTCGGCTCGCCTGTTGGAAGCAACCAGTCAAGATCTGGTCCCATTTCTCCAGCAAGTATTCCAGGTAAGCTCGTTTCAGAAAAATTAAATAGAGCTAAAAGACTAGACAGGTGTAGAATTGCAAAAATTAAGAAAAAAATACTTCTGTACTTAGAAAGCACTCATTTTGTGAGAAACCTGCATTTTTCAGGGACTTTTGCTGTCAAAATGCATACTTAAAGCAGTGATAAATTCCATCTGAACCATGCTAAGCCTTCAGAGCTCTCAAAATGCTGCACTTCAACACTTACGCTTGATAAGTATCTTTATCATGGGCCAGTTGAAATACTTGCTCTTTAAGTTTTCTCTTCAGTTCATGTATCATCTTTATGTCACACACACACACACTTATATATATACACATGTATATAGATAAATTACTTAGAGAGTCCTGTACTTTTGTTGTCTTTGGTTGTTTGAGCAGTATGATGGTTTAAGATCCATAGAATGAAGCAGGGATTTTCTAACCCTGTATTGTGAAAACGCAATGTGGAACATGAGTGTAAAATTTCTTAAGAAATATTTTTAATACTTGCAAAAATCAGCAGGTTTCTAGGAGCCCAGCCCCATGATTGAAAGGCAGTGGCCTCTCTGCCACTCCCTCTCCTGTGTTGCACAGAATATAACACAAGATCATTCACATATGTTCAGAAATCTGTTTTAATGTTACCCAGAAGAAAAAAAAAAGGCATCTGTTAATTCTAGTTACATCCTTGTCTTGTCCATATTCCCATGTCAGATGCAGGCCAAGGGGTTAGGTGGTACTATCCTATATTTGATGTTTCGATGAATTTATTTCCTTTCAGATGCTCAATTTTTAGATTATTTTCTCACACTTGGAATACTAGGAGACCTGCTAATAGTAGGCGAGTACTAGGCTACCCCACCCCAAGAGTAGCTTCAGTTGCTGACAGAACCACAGAAAAACCACCACAGAGCTCACTTAAAAGCAACAATAAAAAACCAGCGCTGCCTTTTCATTAGGTACGCTGCAAACCAAATGCAAGTTAAAATACAGCGAGTGATTTTTGGTCCTGGGTGCGAGGGGGTGCGTGCGAAACGCAGGCGCCTGTTTGCACAGGGAGTTTCCCCTGCGCCAGCGCAGGGCCGCGAGCGGGTGCGCGCGGAGGCCGCACGCTGAACGCGGCCGGAGCAGGGAGGCCAGGGAGCCACTGGGCATCCCGACGCCGCGCAGGGGAGCCCTTTCCTCTCCTTGTGTGTAGTTAGACAACCCTAAGTGGGAAAGCGTCCTGCTTTCCCACAGACAACAAATTCTTGCCGTTTTTAATGGGGACCAAAGATAATGGCTTTAAAAGCTGTTTCTCTATTGAAATTCTGACTTTCCGGAGACCCCTTGGCGTGATTCAGTTTTGAATATCTCTAAGCAGTCATATTCAGGCAAATAAATTGATTGGTATTTTAGCAGCCTGCTTGCTGAGTAGGGTATGAATGGTGTTGTGTGAAAATAGCTCTCCTGTAACCATGATGGATAAGGATATAAACAGGCCAGTTTGCAGGGAGAAGTAATTTTTATCAACCCGGTTGATGACACCTTTGGGGTAAAAGCAGGGCGGGCGGCGGGGAAGCTCTCTGGCTCAAGGTCGCTGCATCCCTTCAGCAGAGCCAGGTGCTCGTTTCACTCGTGCAGAGCTCTGTGCTGGTGCCCCTTCCCGAGGCGGCGTTCCCCGGAGCCTGCCCGGGGCTGCGCGCGGAGCAGGGGCAGAGCTGCAGCCTCTGGGTTTTCGGGCTCGGTGAGCTCGGCCAGTCTCCCTTTCCAGCCCACCGGCTATTCCCACTGCTCTCATTCCTTGCTAGCAGTCCAACAGCTTTACTTCCTCTGTTACAGTCACGAAACGTTGGAAAAAAAAGTCACATGGAGCATTTTTGCCTTTCTGTGGCTGTTTGCAGCGTTCAGATTGCAGCAGTTTTTAAGCAGGCGTTCTGCAGTGTGGCTTCTCTCCTCCGCTAATTTTGTTCGCTGCTATTTTCCTCTCTTTTCTCACCCTACCCTTGTTTGCTCTGACCTCATTCCTCTCCTATTACCTCCCGCGATGTTGTGCCACAGCTTCTCCGTGTGACATAGATTGGCTCTTTCAATCATTCTCTCTCCAGCAAGTCATTGTAAAATGAGCAGCTGTTGTGTTGCTGATAGCTGCGAGTAGGCAAAGCCAAAATGTTGCAGGGGGTGCTTGGTGGGAAGGCCGTTAAAATAAAGGTGTCGCTTTCCCAGGGTTTACTGGAAGAGAAGCGTCCTTTTTCCTGCTGCCTCCTTCCCTGCAACAAAATTGACAACTAATTTAGCATCAAAAGGGCAGACAAACAAGCAGCCCCCTATGAAGCCTCCCAAATGGCTGATTTCTCTTGCGCCGCCTGTTTAAGCCGCTTCCCCAGCCCACCACAAACCTGCTGTCCCATCTTGCGCCCTGTCACCGTCGGGAGCTCCGTGCACAGGCAGCGCTGGCAGCGGCACCTCCGTCGCTCCGTGGGCCCTTCCTTCCCGGGCGCCCTGGCGTGCTGCACAGATGTGTCTCGTGGTAAGTGGCACTTGCGTGCCGTCCTCGTCTCACTTGGCATTACTGGGATATAGCACGGCGACTAACCCCAAAGAGCCGAAGAAACCACTTTGTTGTGTTCTCTGCAAAAAGACATTTTTCTTCTCTCAAAACGGCATCACCTCGCTTTCGGATGCACTTCCATTGCAGTACTGGAATCGTGCACTTCTCCACATGGCTTTAGGGATGCCAAATGCTGTTGTAATTTCCTATGAAGCAGGTCCTTATTCTGCTTTGCCAGAAATCCCAATCCCCTTATTTTGTAGCCACCTTCACAACAAGGGTGCACGTCCTGCCAAAGCAGGAGAGGTGACGCCCTGCGCTGCTCCAGGTCTTGAACTGCGCCTAGTTCAACCCCGAACCGTTTGCAGAAGCTGACACAGCACAACATCAGAACGCGCTGCTGTTGCCAGAAGATTTAGGGGATGGTAATTTCACTCTTTTTTCTTTCCCTCCTGCTCCAACCATTCTGCTTGCAGTTTACTAACAAAGCAAAAATGTAAATAAGCTCAACTCTCCCCCACCCCCAGGTTTTATCTCACTGGCCAAAGGCTTTTGTCAGCTCTTTCTCCCTTGCGGTGTAAGCAGCAAAAATTTTTAGCATTAAGAGTTTGATGGAAGATTGCTGATAGGCCAGGAATCCCTTAACCTGTGATGGGTGAGCAGATTTTATATGAGTTAATAGATTACATTATTTTTAAACCTCTGCAGCAATTTTTGGGTGGATAGAAGACAGCATTATGCTATACTAGTAATGACTGGCAAATGCTGTGCTTAGAAATACGTAAGAGTATATTTTCACACAGACCAGTATTTTGAGTTGTGTTTTTCATCCATGTTGCTTTTATTTTCTGAACAAACAAGCTTATTTTCCCAGTTTTAAGCGTCACTGCTTCACAGTTCTTGTCATTACAATTATGTTGATGTCTCCCTTCACCAAGGACCTTGATTACAGCCCGAGTTAACGTTTTCAGGAAGAATTCCATGTGTGGATATTCTCACTGAAGAGTGCTATTGCTCGTCATCTCAATTTATGCTGACAGACAGTCAGCACCCTCTTCGGTTTATTAAAAAGCGGGGAAAAAAGTATCCCACCTGCAAAAGTCTTTAGTATGGTAATTATACAAGGCAACGGGTGTGTTGCACATGCCGATCCACTCTGCTTTCTGCAAACTTGGAGGTCTTCCATTCATATATTGATCTGCTAGCTAGCTTAAATTCCTGAACCTGGTAGAATTACATAGATCATTCGAGGCATAAAGGAGCAAAAGAGGAATGAGATGCCCAGAGAGGGCTGTGATAGGAGGTCTTGCTTTGGTATGCATGATAAGCAATGCGTGGATAGAGCAGAGTGATTTAAACAGTGTGATAAGAAGGAAATGAGTAACACTTATTCCATCATAGTCTGAAAGGAGATTTTAATGTAAAAATTGGAATAGGAGTGATGGTTTCTTTCATGCCTTATAAAAGGAGAACTGTTTCCAGAAATTGCTGCAATAAGACAAGCTGGTTGGACAGATCTTGTTTTAAACAAGAATTTGGAAAACACTTTTGCTCGCTATTGAGCTATTCCATATGCTTGCTCCACTAACCACCACTGTTGGTATGTTACAGTATTGACTCTTTTCAAATATTATTTGAGAGAAGGAAGGCTACCGCATGAGAAGGAATTTGTAAAACTATATGCTTTGCTCAGGTTTTACAAACCTCTTAAAATGCCATTTCAAAACAAGGAAGGGAATTATTTCCTTGTGAAATGGACACAGTCCTCATGTCTAGAGAGATTATTTTAGCACATCTATCAATATTTCTCCCTTGGCTTCTCTGGAGGCAAAAATCTTGCAACAGCTTGTTGCAAGGAAGATGCATGCTGTTTATTGGCAACCAGACCAGAAAAAACAAAACACAAAATGCCATTGACGTAGCTATGTTCTTAATGACTACTGGTACACAAAACATCTATTCAGCAGTTTTGTAAATCTAGAGTGCTTACAAATGAAATACTTGAGCGTTGCATATAGCATGGCTTTAAACACTTTCTTTTGAAAAGTTTGAACAACATTTAGAGTTTTTTTTTTCTTTTTAGAAGATGAGTAAAGATAGGCAATTTGTAGGCACGTGGCTTAAGTCCCAGATTCTAGGATAGAGAGCATCTGACCTGTGCTACCCGTTAAAAATCAACCCAGCTCGTGGCTGATTAATCAGCTCTTGTCTGAAGTACAAATGAAATCAGTGACTAGTCTCAGTCTGGTTCCTTGAGAAGAGGCTGTATCGCATGAGGCAGTACCAAAACTGTTACCTTGCTTGCAATCCTGCCAGAAAGATGCGGGAGGTTTCCTCTCTGTATGTGGTCTTTCCGAACAAGTACAGGAAAGGAGACCAGACCAATGTCATCAAAATTCCCATTGCGTTTTCCAAGGAACAGAGGGCTTCATCTTCCAGAATCATCAGCCCAGTCTTTTTTTATCATCGC